TAATAACTCAAATACTGTAATTTTTTATATTGATGAATCATTAACTGCTAGGATTTTCTTAGTTAAAAATTACTTTGCAAGATATGAAGTCATATGATACAATTCTCATAAATGTAATATCATTATTTTTGCAAGGTATATCTCTATTCAAGGTTATTAAATATTATATATATTTGAAATAAAAGTACACAAGGGATTAAAATTTGAAAGATATTTTGCAACTAGATTATGAGTTAGTATAGAAAAAGCTAGATGCTTAATAAAAGAATAGTTTATTTAAAAGAATTGGATATATAAAATTTAATAAATATGTATAAGTATATTGTATTAAATGCAAGTAAACTTTATTTTGAAAAATTTAAATTGTATTGCTGTCTATTGAATACAAATCTTTTGACGTTTAGAAAATGAATCAGGAATATTATTATATAAAAAATATAAATATCTATTTTCATAATTAAGAAGTTCTTGAATTGCTAAAGTTTTATCTCTATTTTTTCCTCTAACTTTTAAGGTTTTATGAAAGAAATAAGATACTTGTAAGTAATTCTTTTTTTTAACGGAACTATATGAGAAAGATTTTATTCCCAATTCTTGTGAATTTGCATCATTTTAGCTACATAATAAACCAGAACATGCATGTAAGGTGTAATATCGCTTGGTAAATAAAGATCTGAAACTACTTCTTCACCCGCTTCCTATTTACCAATAGAAGGTGTTAAAAATAAAGTTAACCATTCTTTTGTATCATTTTTAAAAGTATTCAGATCTGTTGTATTATCTTGTAAGTTATCATAAAGCTGCGAAAATTTATTTTATAAATTCTTGATTTTAGTTGCATGTAAAGGTGTAAAAAGTAAATTAAGGTTAAAGTTATTTAAAACTTTGACTTTATTCTCACCCATTAATGATGTATAGCTCTAGCTTTCTGATTCTTGTTCTTTTTAAAATTGAAATCGGACTGAAATACGGTTCATTTTCTCTACAATCATCTTATGAGCAAGGTCATCAAAAAGTTCTTCATCTTTTAATTCATTCAAGACTAAACTCTAAAGATGATCAGTTATCCTCAACATAATGTGAAGCTCATCAATTAGCCAATGATCTAATGGAATCATATTGAAAAGTGGTGGTTTTTTATGACTATTATAAACTGTGAAATCAGTTATCATTTTGTTAATTATCCACTATTTATTTAAATTTCCTCTATCATCCTTATTTGTATTGCACCAAGGATAATAATAATATAAATTTGCGCTATTAAACTTCAAACAAATACATAGAAATTTCCAATCAACAGAGAAATAAAAATTAATATTCCAAGTAATATTATTAATTTTTATGCTCAATTCTTTTAATTCATATAACTTTTCCAAAAATAGTGTCATTGCATTTTTCAAAGAATCATAATCTCGCTTCTAGGATATAATACTACAATATAATGATAATCAGGAAGATAAAGGTTCTTTCGATCATCAAGAATTGCGCAGGTTACCATTATATGCTAGACTTTCTGTCTAACATTTCTTCCATCTCCTGATATTCGAATATTAATACATGGATCTTTTGGATTTAGAATATTTAGATTAACTAAAAAGAGAACTATGTAATTTAAAATATCTTTAATGCTGCGATATCTGCTTTTTCTAATTGTACTAATTACTTGATCTATTATTTCAGGATCATTTATATCAGATTGTTCAGCTCCAAAATTTGTTTTTATATCAACTAACTTAATTGGAATTAGGTTTTGCATTTCATTATCAATTTGAACCTTTGTATTATATATAATATATTCTTGCAGTAAATCATGTTCCAATGCTGCTAAACTTCTATAAGCCTCATAAGATATTAAATTTTAATCCATTATTTGTACAAAGAACATTATATATTGTTGTTGATTTTCCTTATTGTAATTATTAAATCCAACTGAATAAAATTTTGTATCAACCGAATATTGAAATGACTCTAAAATAGGTTTATCTAATTTGTTGTAATATTCTTTACTATGAGTTTAAAAATCATTATGAATTTGTGTTGCAAACTTTCGAGCACACTTAGTAAGTGCTAATGAACTTGCTTCATTAACTAATTTCAAGTTGCCATGGTTTTTTTTTCACAATTTTTTTGACACAATCTAATTGTAATCCGAATAAGAAAACACCAGAAGTTTATGTAGATTTTATAGTAGTTTTCTAAATTAATAATATAAATTAACATAAATAATAATATGAAAAAAAATATATATTTATTATAATTTTTACTTGCATTATTAAATAAACTTGCTGCCTTACTCATACTTTTTTTTGATATTACTTGGTCTTCAAAATTTTTACCAAAATATATACAAAATGTAGGTATCTTATTTATATAGTTAATTGTACATTTTACAGTTTGTCGATTTTTATTTCTATCCCAAGTAGTTTCAATTTCATACTTATCAGAAATTTTATAATGTTTATCCAGTGTGTATTTTATATGTCTAGATGAATAAATTCTTTCTTTAATTATTGTATAATAAAAGCTTTTTTTTTTTTCTTTATAGCAAATATTTAGTTTATGGGGATATTTATGAATTTCAGTTATTTAAAAAATTTAAATATATGTATATACATTTATTAGAAAAGAAATGTATATACAATATACATAAAATACATCTAATTATCTTAAAATAGTTTAATTCTAATTTGTTTATATATTACCTTTAAAGTTTAGGATACAGATAAAAAACTGGATATTAATATGCTCTAGGCCAAAGTATACATATTCTATTTTATTATATGAGGCATAATTTTTTTTAATTTGTTGTATTATAAATATATACTAACATTTGTTTTAATTCATTAAAACAGAATTCAGTACAAAAATTCAGTAATTCGAAATCTATTTTGAATTTCAAAAAATTCTACTTTTATGATTATTTTTTATTTACTGTATATGTTCTGATACAATTATTAGATTATTAGATCTAATATATAAATTTATTTAACATCTCCTACTTAGTCACTAAATCACTTTTAGAATTTATGATCATTTATAAGTTTGATACTATTGACTGAAAATAGGATATATCTTTATTATTCTGGTTATTATCTTAAATATAGAAATCCAAATTCCCAAACCAAACTATGTAATAATATCA